AAGAAGGGGTAAAGGGAGAGGGTTGGGAACAGAAGATAAAGAATTAAACAAATGTTGGGATATCTGAGCAGTAGCCCACTTATCAAAACAAGTCATGATTGTTCAATATACATGTACATATTTCGCACTTCTGATTCCGAACTGTTTGCCAAACGGCAGGGGAGTAAAACCTGCATAATTTGTTCGTGGACACAGAACACAGGTTTCTGGGACCAACGTGGGTGAGTTTTCGTGGTAAATTTTCAGCCGGAGCCTTTGAGTAACAAAAGCCTCACCCACAAGGTAGTGGGGGTGATGCGTGAATACCGTAATCCATTGCGGACCGGTGTGCAGTTCATGGGATCCTATGCCCTTTAAACGGAGTCAAATGGTAGAGCTGTGTGTATACACGTCGCTATCCAATCAAGCCATAAAGGTGTGGTTCGTACTCCTGGTTTGGAATCAGAGATTTTATCCAACTCCCCTAGGTGGAGTGCCAGTTGTTGGTCGACCCGATTGTAGTTTCAGATGTTGACTTTTTGCCTTCTGACTTTGATGGGGAAATACCTCCGCCACGAAAATGTAGTAAGTAGGGCCCCTTCAGAAGAGGCGATTCGAGACGCTTGGTTATGGGACCATTTCGAGAGGTGCAACGGGAGGGTGACCAGCAATAACGCGGGACGCCGATCCCTAACCATGCCATGGCTTCCGAAGGCTATATGCTGAAAAGCCATCTTTCTGCGAGTGTTGAGTAAGATAGCTGAGGTAAGCCGAAGAGCATTAGGGTATAATACAGTGGAGAACTCGCTGTCGCTTCGCATCTATACTGGAACGCTCCGCTGGTTATAACATGTATTGTGCATACTCAGCTGTCGTCTGCCGCACCCTTCCTTTGTTGTTGCTGCTGCTCTAGTTGACAGGAACTCACAAGGTCAACAAATGATTTAATGATGAAACATGAAGAAGTACAGGGAACAAATAGGTGCAACTTTTGTCTCCCATGTTCTAAATAAGGGTCCAAAAAGACTGTAACTGGTCGTTTGGAGACACAAGGATATGAGAATAAATTGACAACGATGGTGTTCTTGTTGACACTTCCTATCAACTCAGAATGTTTGAAACTGTGTTTACACACTTCGATCGCGTATTCTGTGTTGATCATAGGGGTTCACTTTCTTTCCCGCTCCATCAAAATAGATCCCTATTCGCCTCACACATTGTCACTTACTTTGTATGCGAAGCAGCGATCGGGAAGTTCGCTTTACTATATTTTGTTGTACAATGACAGTGGTGTACGGATATTGATGTTTACATGCCGTAAAACGTCTTCTATGATGAGTGGATTCACACTGATGCTATTCAGCTGATTTTACCCTTAATTGTTCAGTCTAGATTCTTTAAAAGTATTTTTTAATACACACAATATTGTGCGGTGAACAACAGAAGAGGTAAACATCATTGTTACCAGGACCTACTGTTTACTCAGGCGGCACCTTGAGGTTTGGTGTGGTGAACCATGTAAGGTCCGACTCAGATTATCGCCGTATTGGACCAGATCATAGCGATGCTGACCACCACCACCACCAAAGTTGATTGCCGGTGAAATGGTTTGAACCTGGGACCTGGAGGCACAACGCAAATCCGTGACAGCGAATTGAACAGTCTAAAGCCAGTGGCTGTGGTGGTACAGTAGTTTATCCGCTGTTCTCGGCGTGCTTAGGAACCTATGGTCCTAACCACGCCACCCGACTTTGGTGGTAGGCAGCAGTTCAATATCGCGCCGAATCTAACGGGGCCTTATGTGGTTCGCCAGTTTCGAGGCTTTATTGCCGGCTTCCATCATTGAATAGCAAGTCCACCACATCTGCTGCTTATCATACAAAATGTGTGTAATAATCAATCGGTTAGAACAAACAATGGGGGCGGCGGTGGAATCGATTCGTACAAATTCATTTGCGCCATTGAATTTGGTAGGTCTTTTCAACCACCTAACAATTTGTGCCTATAAGAGTTCTTCAAATTGTCGCCACATTGACTACTTTTTCTATTTTTTTTAATCCCCGCTAACTGTGGACGCGTTTGCTCCACAAAAAGTGGAGCCAAACCTAGACTTCAGTAATTGGTCCTTTTTCGGTTATCCATCTTGGGTGATCTGCTATTAGCGTGGTCTCAATGATTTTGCAACGTCATCAATATTGATTTTCTTATGGTGACGGTATCGCATCTGTAATTGTTTTTTTAACATGTCCCCTTACTAGATAAAAATGCATGCTGTAGGCCTATTGTTCTCTTCGCAGGTCGTCCTATGTTAAGCCTGTAACCTAACTCAGGGTGATCGCTGCTGCGTTATGGACTAACGACTACCACCACACACATGTGACGGTTTTGTAAACTGACGAGCATCAATCACGATACTGAGCTCTTTGAGGTAACAGCTCCACACCCGGAAAATAAGCCGACTTGTCCTGATTGCGTTGCGTGTGGTCTGCAGCTACATGAAGTGATTAAGTGACCGTGTCGCCATACGAACTCTCGCTCTGCAACGGTGCGCCCTGGCGAGTACAGTCAGTGTTACAGTTAGGTTATCAGTTTCATATAGCACGGTAAACCTAGAGTATGATGACAGATGTGGACTAGTTATGCTGGGGGAAATGCTTTTATGCATCCATATATAAGCTGTCTTCGGGAGGAGTTTTGTTTCCATCACGGTCGCATTGACTGTGCTCAGTGTGAAAATACCGACCACATCGCAAATAGGGGTTGTATTGTTTTTCCCTCTGTGTACGTTTGAAGCTCTTGGCGGCGAAATGTGCCCAAAAATTAGTTCCTGCAATCATGCGTGTTTTTTTTTCGATTTACTACAATCAGAAGAGTTCTGAAACGCTTCACAAAAATCGTCCAGTAGTTTGTATATGATTTTTCTCTACAGTCCCATTACATTTCTTTTATGCAAACCCTCAGTGAGTTATTTTTTCGTTCTAACAATTAATTGCACTCGCCCCACCCCTGCCCCGTTGTCCCCTGTAATTCACGTTGTATGTGTCACTTTGCAGATCCATCATCGAACTGGCCGCATCAAACTGTTGCGCAGTTTGGATCGGGAAACACAGTCTATCTACGAATTGGTCGTCGAGGCCTACGGTCAACCTCCACGCGATGTGACTCAACGAACTATGACACCCCAGTATCAGCATTTACTTCGTTTGGCTCAGTTGAACAGTCGTTCTGTTCACAGACACTCGACCACCACCAGGCTTGTGATTCAAGTCACCGATGAGAATGACAATTCGCCAGTTTTTACCTCCCCGGGCGATTCAACACATGCCGGGGATGGGAAAAATTTCAGCGATCGTCCGGACACATCGCCCCGTTCAGACGTTTGGTTCGGGGCAGACGGCTATCATCTGTCCATCCCGGAAGACATGCCCGAAGGAGCCTATTTGCTGACTTTGACCGCACGGGACGCAGACGAGGGAGCGAATGCTTTGCTTGCCTACAGTTTATTTGGGAACCCGAAAGATGTGGAGTGCTTCACTGTGGATCAACTTACCGGGGTGGTCAAATTGGCCACGAACTGTGATCTGGCAGAACGACGGGGTGCATCTCTCCAACTAACCGCTTGGGCTGTAGATCATGGTCAACCGCAAAGATCAGCGAATACTTCGTTTATAGTAAATGTATTAGCCATACGGCTAAACATATTCCCACCCCGATTTGATACTCAACCTGCCCTCTATGCTGGTTGGATTGCAGAAAACGTTCCATCCGGTAGTCTAGTTTCTGTGGACAAAACCGGGAAGAGTCCACTACAACTAAAAGCCAGCGATCCTGAAGGATACGGTGTCATTTTGTCTGTAATGGGTGGCTCCGGACTTGGCTATTTTTACATCGATGATAATGGTATGTCTTATAGTTGATCTGATCATGTTTACATTGTTGATATATTGATTGATATATTACAGGTAAGGAAAGATATTTTCCTAATAACATCCACAGCTATTAGGTTTTTTAATTAAAAAAGGAAATCGTTTATCTGTTGTGTTCTATCTATGATGATGACAATAATGCTAATGTGTTCAGTGTAACGAATAACAAGTCAGGTCTATTCAAGTGAAGTGTACACCGTTGTGCCTGCACAAATTACGCAGTAACCAAAAACTGTAGCAGTTACAAAAAACAAATGGTAATTTGCGTGAAGAGTTCATACCACTCTCTTCTACTCTTGATTGTGTTTGCTCTGAATAGGCGGTTTCTTTATTCATTTTATTTTACACCGCACTCATTCATTCCCGTTACTTGTGTACAATATTACGCAGGCTTTGTGAGAACAATGCGCATGTTGGACGCGGAAAGTGTGCCGGATGAGGGAGGTTATTGGCTCACTGTTTACGCTCTGGAACAGCAGCTGAATTCATTCGGTTCATGGTTCGATTCGACAATCACTAAACTTATTGCTACCGAATCCAATGGTACAATGCACGCGATTGCTGAGGTGTTTATTGAGGTGCGTTCCATACTGTATATGATGTTCTCTTTCGTACTCTATCATTGTCTCGTAGTCTGTTTTGGTGATGTGACCGCAGCCAATTACGTTTCTCACAACACTATTTGTTCGTTTTCATAAGATATCACCGTATCTACTCTTGTCTTATCTAACCCCACCCTTCATTCACGCATAGGTTTTGGACGAAAATGACAACTTTCCCATTCCATTGGCTCCGCAATATGAGGTAAAGCTCATGGAGAACAGCCCACCAGGTGTTCGAGTCGTTGAAATCTCGGCCACGGATTTGGACACGGTAGCACAACCGCTGCACTATCGAATCACAGCAGGCAATCCCCAAGGTCACTTCATTATCGATCCGGAAACAGGTTTGTATGTGTGTGTGCCTTTCGGTGGGCAGACCTTTTTTCGTCAATTGACGTCGTTTTTCTAGATGTAAATATTCATTGTGAAACAAAAAGATGCTATGCTCTGCGTGATGTGCTCTGTACTCACGCGTGCCTACGCACACACTCCCTGGCCAAAACTATGCCAGTCGGAAAACAGACTATGCAATGGATGGAAAAATATTTAGTAATGCTGTTAAAATTGCGGATCATCCATGGGATTGAATCTCAGTCTGCACTCATTGTACACTTATAAAAATAATGAGTTATCTCCAATGACAATCTGGATCACTATATTTAGTAGCTTGGATCGGCCGTTTCGCAATCACTTACAAATCGTTTTCGTAACTAGTGTCTACCCTAAGTAATGCTTCAGCGCATCGGTTCGAACTCAGTTAGTGATCGAATGTGCTTACTCGCGCTTGTGTGTGTGTGCGCCTGTGGGAGACAATAGCCGAAAGGCAATCCTGTAGCGTTTAACCAATCTCTAGGGTTCAGTTTTTTTCCCACCGTACATCAAATAGTGACTTGTGTGAGACAACTTCATTCCTGATATGACAACATTAAGTTCATACCCATCATATCTCCTTTGACAGGGATTATCCGGACTACCGCTCGACCTTTGGACCGAGAGGCGATTCTGAATGAAACTGGACGCGCTGAACTCAACTTGATGGTGAGTTTTACAGTCGATTGCTTTCATCACATTGTCCCCTACCCCCTCTCGTCATCTAGTGGTCTAATTACTTTAGTTCCAGTCAACATGGTCTACCATTTTTGCTCACTTCCAAGTAGAGGTTTATCGATCCAGGATTTGGTATCGAATTCGCGTAGTCGAGGGAAAGTGAAGTTTTTCAAATGTTGATCTCGGTAAATTTCCGTGTGCGTAGTTCGTGACCGCTTCAAAAATAAATTTAGAACTGACAGTGTTGCGTAAGACGATACCCAGTGGCGCACTTCTTAATCTACATATTTCTTATGACTCTCTATTGTGGTTTAAACACCTCAACAGATGGAACCCAAATTGGTCACTGGTGATTCAGCACTTTAAGTTGCTCCCACTTGCGTGCTTCAAACAAACCTCGTCACTACCACCTCAATTGAATGGTGGACACTTTCTCTTTTGTCCAGCTTGATACCACATTTTATGTGGTATGCTAATCTGGATTCTAGGGACTAGGCTATCAGTAAACAGTAGGTTCTGGTAACGATGGCTATTGACCCCTTTTACTATTTATCTCCCATTGGTGTATAATAAAAACGTCACAAGAACCTAGTGTTTGGGAACTTCAGTCTTCAGGATTGAGGGCAGAGGGCAGGGTGCCCGTGTAAGCCCCTAACCTAATTGCTAGTTATTGTATAACAGTTTTGTAAACAACGGTATTCATTATTGTTTTTGTTACTGCAGTGAACATGTCACCTCGATTGGTGATGAAACGTTTGTAATGAAATTGCTAAACCCGGCAAACAACTGAATATTAAGTTATTGTATTGTCGAACAACACAACCACCCATTCAGTGTGTTTCCAAGTCGGGGGCCAGTGAAATGTAATTCCTTCCTTTTTGTCTACGGGGTGGTCCATTTTTTCCGGTTCAACATTGATTCCTCTACAATTACTTCCATTGCATAATGGAATTCATTTTTTATTGTAAATGTTATAATGTTAATAGATAATTAAAATGGTAACGCTTACAATAAAACAATACATGGCGCATCGATTTTTCGACATACTCATAACATCGTTTGATCATGATGTATTAAAAATTCATTTTTTTTCGTTGAACACCTGTTTTCCGAATGTCTTGCTTTCACATAAATTCATCAGGACTTCATGAGTCCTGATGAAGACCACACGAGTTTTACCATTGATTAATTTATGCACAGCTTGTGTGCGGTCCCGATTTTCTCTTTTCTATTGCTTGATGTTGCG